AAAGAAAGAAAGAAAGAAAGAAAGAAAGAAAGAAAGAAAGAAAGAAAGAAAGAAAGAAAAGCAAGCTAGCTTGGCAAAACTAGTTTAACATAAGGATTCATCAGTTTAACACTTCAGAAATAGACTTTCCTTCTCTTCAGTGGAAAGGTATGCTTTATTTAATAAGTGATATTGATATTAGCATTCCATTTGGAAGAAATAAAAGTATTATCCTTCATAAAAAATTACACGTGTGTTAAAGATTAAAGCACTAGAAGTTAAAATAGTATATATAACTTTAGGGTAAAAAGAGCAGAAACCAAAGAAAGAAATTACATACTCTACTATATTAAATTATTTTTACTAATATTTAAAAAGCATTATACTTAAATAACAAATTAACTGTTGTATTGATCATTACAAACCAAGTGAGAAAGCAAAAGACAGAAACACATCTGACATAGGTACGAGGGATACGGAGCTGCAAGTGCAGTGATGAGGCATGGAACACTGGAAACAAATCAGAACCTGGCTCATTATTAAAGTGACTTGAGAAATAATGGGCCCATAATTGTCCAAGTTGAGCAAATCTAACTTCAGATCCCTAATCTTGAGTAGCAGGTAGCAGGAGAAAAAGTGTGATTGTCCTGTAGTCTCCTTTGGTCAGGTGTGTCATGTCTCTCCCACTGACCATTGTTCTAGCCCTAGAACGTGACTGTGTGTTCTCATCTTGGAGAAAATCTGGCCCGGGGTTGCCCCAGCTCTTCAGATGGGAGCCACAGATTCACTTCGACCCACAGTAGGAAATACACTCAAAGGCTTCATGTTAATGGATTTTGGAGAGAGCGGGCACATTGAGTGCGGAGAGGGGAGGAGGAGAGAGAGGGAGCAGGAAGCTGAGGAAGGAGCCAGTGCACAGAACCATAGCCACTCAGCTAGGTCAGAGAGAGCCTTACAAGTAGGGCTGCTTCTGGCATCCAGGCAGCAACTCATCACACAAGACCACGTGTTACACTCCGTGGACTTAGGGTTTGGCCTCAGAGTCTTAAGCATGGTTTATAGAAAGTTGTGTATGGAGGCTGTATGCATAGGTCAGCTGACAACAGAATGTGCTTTGTGTCCCATTTACCATTCTTAACTGTTCACTCCCTGCCCCAGTCTCACTTTTTTGCTTCCTTACACCATGCTGGCTGAAATGCAAATCTGCCTAATGTAATTTTCCTTTCTACTGGGAGCCCTTCTTCCTTTCTGTGACTTTCTTTTCCCCTTAGTGTTGGGATTGAACTCAGGGCCTTGAGCATATTGTGAAAGTGCTCCATGCAGTGAGCTATGTCCCAGCTTCACTTGAGATCTTATTAAAATTCACGGTCACTAACTTAAGAGGATCTTTACCAGGCAAGCATGTACTATTTTCCTGATCTACTGCATTTCACTCTCTTAGAGAATTTCCTCTTTTCTCCTCAGAGCACTAATACCTGCTCCTTCATCCTCATTCTTGGCCTCCTCACTTGCAAGGTTGAAGTAGCAAGACAGACATGGGCTCTGTGTTTTTCTTGTGCGCTCCAGATCATGCTGCCCAGTTTTGGTCTACCCTGGTCTCTCCCATTTTGCTTCCATGTTGCCTTTCTGCTGACCTAAAATGATTTCAGATTCAACACCAGATAAAAGGCAATAGTCTTCCATAGAATTTTTAACCAGTTCTCAGTTGTGTAAGGTCTTTGACTTTTAATAAGTCCTTTATGCTATATCAAATCCTGATTGATACAGAACAGAAAAACACAGAGGGAAAAAGTGCAAACAATCAGAAGAGACCATCTATAATCTCCTATCACATCTACCTGTTTCTCTTCTCTCTTCCCTCATCTCCATCAGCTTTCATCCCTCAACTGGATTTTCCCTATCAGCCTACACAACATGGATAAGAACTTTTTTTTTTTTTTTTGAGTAGAAAGAATTTATTGAAAGCAAGAAAACTTCTAAGAGGGATGGAAGAGGATCCAGAAAGCAGGTTGCCCCCAAAACCCCCATCTTAACAATAGTCCCTCTGGACTTCTTTCTTGTAGCTAATACCCCATCACTCTTGTGTAGAAAACAAAAGTTCTGTGAGAGTTGTCTGTGTTCACCTCCTGTTTCTTGCCTCCTTTTTCTCTCTTTTTTCTTTTCTTTTTCTTTTTTCTTCTTTCTCCTTTCCTCTCCCCTCCTCTCTCCTCTCAGGAATGTTCACAGGTACTCTCCTGCTGAGCTACATCACCAACAGTGTTTTACTTTGAGACAGGGTCTTGCCAGTTTATGCAAGCTGGCCTCCAACTTGTGATCCTCCTATCTCAGCCTCTCAAGTAGCTGGGAATATAGGCATGTCCTATAATTCTTGACTTGCTGGGCTTTCTTGAATCTGTAAGGCTTTTGCCCCACAATTCTTTCAAACACTGCTTTTATCCATCACTTTTATCCAAAGTAGAGATAAGTAAATTTATCTCTACTTTGATAAATTTCATGGCTTATTCTTTTTCCTTCTCTCATGTGACCTTCAGTAGCTGTTGAGACAATCATTGTCTCCTGGAAACATGTTCATCTAGCTTCTATGACCATCACATTTTCCTATCTCACTAGCTCCTGCTTCTCAATTTCCTTTCCTTTTCCCTTCATTTCTCTCTAATGTTGCCCCAGATCATAGTCTTTGAATTTTGTCTCTTTTTAAAGAACCATATTTATTTATTTTTCCAGACTTATTTTATTTTTCTTGTGTAAAAATCCTTTATGTTGTAACTACTGCTGGAGCTTGAGTCCTCTGGACAGAGATTCTGGTGTGGGTTTCCACAAGATGGTTGGTGAATTCCTGATAGGGAGACTTGGTGAACACAGTCTCTTTCCAGAGGTCAGGGGTCAGATTGCTGTAGATCTTGGAGTTGGCATCAAAGGTGGTCTTAGCAAAGTTGCCCAAAGTAGCAGTGCAACCCCTAGCAGAGGTGTAGCAGTCATCAAAACCAGCCATCAGTAGCAACTTCTTGGGCACAGGATCTGAGATGATGTAAATGCCTTTGTGGGCAGGGATCAGATGCACCAACACAGAGCCACAGTGGCCCATCACCTTGCAAGGAACAGTGTGGGGCTTGCTGATCTCGTTTCCCCATTAGCTTTTCCTCACGGGGACAATGGAGAGCTTGGCCAGGATAATGGCCCCATGAATGGCAGTGGCTTCCTTGGAACACTTTACACCCAGGATAACATGACCGTTGTAGTCCCCAGTGGTGACAA